AATCATCATACATCTGTCATACAAACCAGCCTTTTTCATTATACTCAACTCTGTGTGTGTGTGTGTTTCTGTGTACATGTGCGTATATGTGTATGTTTCTTCCATTAATGCCAGGTTTGAGGAGCTAAGTGCTACATCTTTCCCGGAGGAGTTTCCTTATGTAGCAAAGTCTGTCTTTGCTTTTGTGGAAATTGATGGCAAGGACGTGTGCTTCTTTGGCATGATCGTGCATGAGTTTGATTCTGACTGTCCCGAGCCTAATAGGCGGTAAGATCTATATCCATCTTTTGCTCCTGCTCTCTTTCTCTCTCTCTCTTTCTCCTTCTCTCTTTTTCCTTCTCTCTCTCTCTCTCTCTCTGTCTCTATCGTACGCGGGCTCTCTCTGTCGCTCTCTCTCCCTCTGTCTGTCTGCCTGTCTGTCTCCCTGTCTCTCTGTCTCTCTCACTCTCACTATCACTCTCACTCTCTCTCTCTCACTCTCTCTTTCTCTCTCTACCTCTCCCTTTCGCACGCCGGCTCTCTCTCTCTGTCTGTCTGTCTGTCTTTCTCTCTGTCTCTCTCACTCTCACTCTCTCTTTCAGTCTCTCTCTCTCTATCTATCTATCTATCGCACGCGGGCTCTCTCTCTCTCTCGCGCTCTCTCTCTCTCTTTCTCTCTCTTTCTCTCTCTCTGTCTCTCTCTCTCTCTCTCTCTCTCTCTCTCTCTGTTCCTCTCTCTCTCCCTCTCTGTCTCTCTCTCTCTCTGTCTCTCTCTGTCTCTCTCTCTCTCTTTCTCTCTCTCTCTCTCTCTCTCTCTCTCTCTCTCTCTCTCTCTCTCTCTCTCTCTCTCTCTCTCTCTCTCTCTCGTCTTTGACTTTGTTTAGTTTGCTGTACAAGTGCATGTACTGCATGTAACACCGTTGACTGCTGTGTGAAATCTCTTCAAGAATTGCTCTCTGTTCTCTGCGTATTTTTATTGTAGGCATGTATACCTTTCGTATCTGGACAGTGTCCATTTCTTCCGGCCAAAGCAGTTGCGTACTCAAGTGTATTATGTGCTGCTTATCGCCTATAAGGACTATGTAGCAAAGCGAGGCTTTGTCGCTGTTAACCTTTGGGCATGCCCTCCTGGGAAAAACGAAGACTATATTTTCAACTGTCATCCACCTGGGCAAAGGATACTCACACAACAGCTTCTAATACCGTGGTACAAGACAATGCTGGACAGTGCAGTTGCTCGAAAAATTGTTATCAAGTTTCGCGTAAGTGCTCTAAATCAACTCATTTTCGCTGGCAATTTTATTTCGCTGATTCCGCCGCTTCTGCTCCGAATGCGCTACCGAGGCACCGCCTAACGTCTTATCGCACAAGCTTCTATGATGCGTAGACAGTTTACAGTGGAAGCACGGTCTCGCCTGTTTGCAGTCACGTGCGATATGATCCGATCTGAAACATATGGAGCAGCGATCATTGAGTTTCGAGTGAGCTTTGCGTGCATCTAAATCTCAGTACTGGCCGCATTCATCGCTAAAGTGTGCCCCTGAACAGTAGAAACATTTGTCATGATGTTGCAAGAGGGATACACCAGTTGAATTGACATGGGATGGCGCAGGATGCTGTTGATGTCCTTTATTCGCGTCGTGACATTGGCGTTCACTAGTTTCCTTGACACGTACCAAGATGCCAAGGGCCTTGCGTAAGGATACGACAGTCCAGCTGTCGCTGCCCCGTGCAAGCTCGAGCTGCACCATGACAGCCTGTGGGAGCTTTGCTGTGATCATAGGAATAAATAACGGGTGTTCTACGTCTTGTTTGAGTGCTTCAAGACTGCGGAGGTTCCGTTCGATTTCGTCAAGTAGTTTCCGCAACGAAGCAGGTGTGTGTGTGTTTCTGTGTACATGTGCCACCGTACAAAAGGGATTTCCACTAGAGGTCCTGCCACATCACCGATCTCCACTCCAACCACTTGCCTTGCACCTGTAGAGTCTTCAGCCTCAAAATCTGAGTGACTGAGAGTGAGTGAGTGAGTGAGAGTGAGTGAGTGAGTGTGAGAGAGAGAGAGAGAGAGAATGAGAGTGAGTGAGTGAGTTTGGAGAGAGAGAGAGAGAGAGTGAGAGTGAGTGTGAGAGAGAGAGAAATACAGAGAGATACGGAGAGATAGTGAGAGATAGAGAGATAGATGGAGAGATAGATAGAGATAGAGAGAGAGAGAGAGAGAGAGTGAGAGTGAGAGTGAGAGTGAGTGTGAGCGAGAGAG